TCATCCCCCCATGCATCACCTGTACCTTCCCTGCCACCTCGTGTCATCTATGCCAACATTCCCCCTTCCCCACACACAGGGAAGTTGCGGGTGGGGTGGGGCTGTGGGTTGGGAGTGATGGACAACAGCATGGGCATGGGGCAGGGCATCAGCATATCAGGGCTGCTCAGTGCCACAAAGCAATGGGGCTGCAGTTGGACCCGTGTCCTGGTGAGAGAAGGGGGTAGGGACCTCTGATTTTCCATAATTAAAAAAAGATCAAATATCAAAACATCAAAATATATAGGTATTTAGAATTAAATGAGGAAAAATGGGGATTTTGCATATTTATTTTTTTTAAATCAGAATTTGCAATTAGTCATAATCAGAGAATTTGGGGTTTTTAAACCAAGAAAGCCAGGATCCCTGATCATGACCTACTGGCAACTCCATGTTCCGAGAAGAACAGGTGTTGCATTATGGAGTAAACTGGCATTAATTCTGTAGATAGGTGGCTTCTAGCAATTATCTAAAGCCTTACTTTCATTAATGGCTTATTTTTAAAAGGAATTTTCTGGAGTTCAGCAAGCTGATTTGTGCATAATATTAATTTCAAAGACCAGCTATACACCAATTACCCTCCAGCTTAAGACTCAGTTTTGACAGCATTTGATACCAAGCAAAACTAATCTTGGATTTAGCCATTTGTTATTTGGTCAAGAATCTTAAGTATACCAATGCTTAGTAAGACATGAATTTATTCTGTTTTAAGAGTTATGTTAAACTTGGAGCCTCCAAAAATGCTAACTTGAACCCACTGTTTTGTTGTTAAAAAAACCAATTTCCCAGAGACTTTCAACCTATCTCCAGTTTCATACTGGAGCTCTGAGCAATCATATGGCTCTTTTACATAAATTTGACCACAGAGAATATAGTGGCCAAACTGGAATTAATATAAATTTTCCCCAACATTTATATGCATGTTTCCAGCAAAAATATCCATTGACTTTTCATACACAAGGAACCCAAAACAGTTTGCAAAATCTATAATGGAAACACTTTACAGCTGAAATGCATCCACTTACAGGAATGGATTGCAGAGACAAAAGATATAAGAACTGGGACAAAGCATGCTGCACACTAAAGAAGGAGAAAGGAAATCATATAGCCAAATTGTACTAGAGTAAGCCTCTTCTCTTATGAAGACTGGCTATGGGATCTTTAATGTTCACAAAGAGCACCTCCATTTAAGATTTATCAAAAGTCTATTCAATTCACTTCCAGCTTCTTGAAAGAAAGTAGTAGATCAATGCTAGCTGGATTTGGAACCGTGGTTACAGATCTCATACTCAGGACACTGAAGGATGTTCCTTACAGCTAGGATTAATTTTAAGCTCCACATCTTTAAATTGGGTTTCATGGCACATGATATAATTTAATT